TCTCAGTAAATAATTTTTTGGGCAATAACAGTTTGCCTAGACTCAAAATGTATGCCAGTTTTCCTTTAATTAGGTTGGGTTTACGCAGCATGGAAACAAATGAAACCGTGATAGAATCTTGATAGAACTCTATGGAAATGAAAATGGTGTTTAGAGTGTATCATTTTTAAAATGATCTGTTTTGTGTTGCTGTGTAAACCCAGCATAAAGCTTGTTACTAGCAACATTCGTGGTTACTTTGATTTTGTAATCAACTTGCTCCAAAATAAAACAGATTTTTATTCTTAGATACAAGATCAGTGAGTGCTCGGTTTAATGAGATGGAAGAAGAAATCAAAGGATTAAGGATGAAGGTTGATTATTTGGCATCACTTTCTAACAATGCTTGTTCAGGTTAGAATATAGTTTTATTAACTATTTGTTATAATTATAATTAATTAAAGCTAGAGAAGAATTTTATCGATATACAGTGCTATTGATTGGTGAAACAGGATCTGGAAAAACTTCATTTTTAAATCTTCTTTATAACAGCAAGTTAATTGAGGAGCTGGGAACACAAGTTGATGGAGCAAAAATTAGTCAGATCAAGCATTACAACGACTTGAAAATTGAAAGTTCATCTGAACGTGCCATGGAAAGTAAAACAAGTGAGGCCAAGTTTTACGAAACTGAAGTGTGTAAGATGAAGATGATGGTAATTGACACGCCTGGGTTTGGAGATTTTAGGGGGCTGGGAAAAGATAAAGAAAATGTCCAGAAAATTATTGATGCGTTAAAGCAACAAGATTACATCAATTGCGTTTGCCTCATCATCAATGGTCGCCAATGTCGAATGAGTGCTAGTCTTAAATACATCTTAAGTGAAATTAGCACAACTTTGCCCAAAGAAATTTTTGACAACATCATTGTCATCTTCACATACACTGCAGATCTTCTTGACTGCAACTTCAATATTGCTGAGTTAGAAAATTACTTCAGAAAAAAAATTAAGCACTACTTTTTTATTGAAAACCCATATTGCAGGATTGAGAAAGCCAAACAAAAAGTGACACAGCTTTCAGTTTATCAGATTGCCAAAAGCTTAATGAAATCATTTGAAGACACAGCTGAGTGCCTCCACTCTATATATGATACAATCA